GGTGGTGGAGGAGGAGGTGCGGGAGGAGGAGGAGGGTGTGGGGAGGGAAGAGGCGGGCGGGGAAGGAGACACGCCGACTACGGCGGCCGGCGACCGCGAAGCAGCGGGCGCGGTGGCGGGTGTGGCGGGGCGAGGCGGCGACGGCGAGGTGGAGGGCGGCGGAGTGGTCGGGTGGGTGGTGCCACCGTCGCTTCCGCCCGCTCGCGCGGAGGCGGTTGCTCTTGCGGCGACGGCAGTGGCCACACTCGAGGCGCTCCCTCGAGCGCTCCTCAAGCCGGCTCTCATGTAATCGACATGGCAGGGAATCGTACGACAATGCTAGGCCGAGGTGCTCACGCAGTCTCCTCCGCTGCTGGCGGCGAGATACGCCGCGACCTTCGCGGCGGCGCCGTGCCGCGCCGCGCTCCCACCGCCAATGGCGCGGTTGTGCGGCCTCTGCAGCCGCGCGCTGCTGCTGCAGGCGCGTCTGTTGCGTACTGCATCATGTGTTACCACCCCGTTGTAGCATGCCACAGCCGCTCCTCCGCTGCGTGCGCAGCCGCTCGCTCCCTCCCGCTCAGTGCGAGGCGGGGGATGCCGCCCGCTGCGTCGCCGTCGACCCTCTGGGCGAGAGAGCAGGTGGGGCAAGCCGCCTCTCCGACCCCGCGCTTTGCTGCTGCAGGCGCGGCGCAAGCTGGACGCACACCGGAGCAGGCGGCTGCTGAGCTCGCTTCGCATTCTGCCGGTCGAGCACTCTGCTCGGGCTGCTCGCCCCGCGGTTCCCTCCTCTCCCACTGACTCGCGGGCTGTTCCATGCACCAGGTGCGTATGTGGCTTGCCACCAGCCCACTCTTTCCTTTGCACCTGATGCTACAGAGGGCTGGCAGCGCGCTGACACGGGGAGAGCCCATCGCACCCCGCGGCGGAAAGGAGAGCCCACCGAGCGGAAGAGAAGTAGCGGGCTGGCTGGCCACCCCTCTCCTGAGATCGTGTGCCATGCCCCGTGTGTGTGCTCCGCGAGTGTGCGTGCGCCCCGTCGTCCGTGCTAGGACGTGTCTAAGACGGACGGGCTGTCTATGAACTAGGTCGAGTCTCTGGTCAGCCTGCTCGCCTCGAGGAGCAGCGACCCGGCGCCGACCGCTTCCGCCTGCCTCCCCCTCTAGATGCGCGAGATGTGGCGTACTGCATCATGTTGCCACCCTTCGGAGCATGCCACGGTTCGTTGTGTTCGCGACATGCTTTGGACACACGGACGCCGTGCTCCCGACCGAGGCGTATTCCGCATCCTAGGCCTCCGCCTCATCCTCGAGATCACGCGAGATTACCCGAGATCAGCCGAGGGTACCCGAGAGTACCCGAAAGTAGGCCTCCGCCTGGTCCTCGCCCGCCCTCTTGGGGGGCGCTCTGTGCTACAGCGCATCGCCGCCACATCGCTCGCGCCCAAGGCGAGATCACATGAGATCACACGACACGAGATCACACGAGATCACACGAGATTGCCAGCCCACCTCGCTCGCCCCCAAGGCCGAGAGGCGGGACGCGGAGGCGCCTCCGTCACAAGTGCGCTGCGACGGCCACCCATTCCTTTTCCTCCTAGGCCAAGCGGCGCTATGTGGACGCGTGCTCCAAGCGGTTGCCGCCGCCCCTCCGCCGCGCCCTCGCCGCCGCCATCGCCAGCCAGGCCGCCGCCCGCTGGGAAGGCGGTCGCGCGCCCTTCGCTTCGGCCGAAGCCGCGGCGGAGCTGCTGCTGCTGCACGCCCGCGCAGTGGGGGAGGAGGCGGCGGCGTCGGAAGCCCTCGGCGGCCGAGGAGGCGGAGGCTGCCTGGCGGCTGCTCGCGCGGCGCTCGCGGCGTCGCACGAGCTCGAGGCACCGCACGGGAGAGCGGAGGGTGTAGCGGGGACGTGGGGCGGGGGCTGTAGCGTGAGCTGTAGCCGAGGTTGCGCCGCAAGTGCGTCGAGGCGTCGGCGCGTTGTGGCGAGAGCAGACGCCGCCAGCCCAGGACATGTCCAAGACACGTCCAAGACACGTCCAGGACACGTCCAGGACACGTCCAGGACACGTCCGGGACACGTCCAGGACACGTCCGGGACACGTCCCCGTCAGGCGGGTCGCTCATTCGTGGCCCTGCTCGGCGACGACTCTTTCGAGGTGCCCTTCCTGCTGCGCCGCTGTCCCCCACTCCTCTGCTCTTGATCGCGCAACAGCCGCCGTACCTAGGCGGCACTCTCCTCGCTGCTGCCGCTCTGCGCGGTGCCGCTGCTGCGCCTCGGCCTCTCGGGCGACGTGCCGCGGCTGGTGCCGCACGCGCCGCGGCCCGCCACCGAGTGTGGACAGCGTCTCTTCACAGCACGGAGTGTGAAAGCAGGTGTCGCACGCACTGCCGGCCACCGAGTCGCTCCTCCGCTTCGTGCGCAGCCGCTCGCTCCCCCCCGCTCAGCGCGAGGTGGAGGATGCCGCCCGCTGACGCCGAGGCGCAGCCGCCCCTCCGCGACACGTCCTGGACACGTCCGGGCTAGGCGGGGATGTCCCTGGCTCTGGACGACATCGCCGGCGCCGTCGTCGGCTACGTGCACCGTGTCGCCGCCGCGTCGGAGGCGCGCGGCGGTTCCGCTCGCGGATCTGGCCGCGAAAGCGGCGGCGGCGGCGGCGGCGGCGGCGGCGGCGGCGGCGGTGATGGAGGTGGCGGTGATGGAGGTGGCGGTGATGGAGGTGGCGGTGATGGCGGCGGTGGCGAGTTGCGGCGGTTGCTAGAGTGGGCGGCGGCGGCGTGGCGCAGCCTCCGCGTCGCCGTCGATCCTCTGGGCGAGAGAGCAGGTGGGGCAAGCAGCCTCTCCGACCACACCCGCCGCTCGCTCGCCGCCCTCGCCCTCGCCACGCGGCTCGATCCGAAGGTGCAAGGCCGGCTGAGTCCGGAGGTCGAGGCGCCGCTGCTGAGGCGGTTCGAGGAGCAGGTGTGCGCGGCGGCACCCGAGTAATATACTGTGAGGGTCCGGGCACGTGATTTGCAACTATTGTTCGAGTGTGAAGGGCGGCCTGTACAAAAGTAACATATTTACGGTGCCTTGGTCTGACGTGTATATCGCCATGCTGAAGCTTTATTCAAAAAACTTCGTAACTCCTTGGCGACGAGCCGCGGGCTTTTGCCATTGCGTGCCAGCCTCAGACAGCCGGGCCGCCCGAGAGTTTTACTGACGAGTTTCTCTCGCGGGGGCGGCCCGGCACAACCAACCCTGTGCTCAGCACAAAAAAAATTCTGGCGCAGCGGCCGGCGTGAGCCGCGCCAGCTGTCGACAGATGTCGACAGATTCGATGGATTTGATGGATCCCTTGATGGTCCGATGGGCGACGGGCGACCCCCCCAAAACCCCCACCAGGTCTCGAACCTGCCTCCACTCGCTCGAATCAGGCGCTCCGAACGGCTTTGCAAGCCCGGGCTTGCAAAATTGACGGCTAATGCTTCACTGCCTGATATAGTACAATTTTATTGCTTCAGCATCAACGCCACGCCACGTTCTAGGGACGCAGAGCGCGCACTGAGAGACCACTCACATCGTTGCGGGGCGGCAATGTGACTGGACTCGCCGTGCGCGCCCAGCTAACCCTAGCCACCAGCCTGCGCCATACCCAGGTACGGTCGCACCTGTCTCTCCACCTATCATCCCAACTCCTCGGGCGACCGCGCGGCTGCGCTACTCACAGGCAGTCTCCCTGCCTCAGCTGTTACAGGCACCACCCACCGACCAGTCTCGACGACGAGCCGCGGCAGGGCTCGCTGCGCCGCTGCACAGCTTTACGCCACAACACAACATATCAACCAACGTAACCTCCCCCTTAGTGACCCACCCTTGCGGGCTCAGTTGCCGCATTAGGAGCCTTCGCACCGCGAGTGGGCTCAGGTGGGATCCACGGAGAGAGAGGTTCCATACACAGCCGCACTCTACACACCTTACCCCCTCTACTCGGGCGGCATCGTGGTGAGACCCTGGGCAGTCAGAGAGGCTGACAGTAAGTGGCGGGCTGAGAACTCGGGCCTCTCCCGACCCGCCATCGCTGCCTAAGGGAGGATCCTATCGGCCACTAGACCATGACAGATCAGAGGCGCACACGCCCTGTCCCAGCTCCCCCACTCCTCACACTGGGTTTGCAGTGCGCGGCCTCGCCACCTCCCTACCAGGGCAAACCCCCTCTCTCCCCCTAGGTGCTGCACTTGACGTCCATAGAAGGCGCGCGGCAGAGGCGGGAGGGAGGCGGGGAGAATCTAGCTCGCTCTGGCAGGGAGGCAAGGGTGTGATAGAGTGTTTGGGTGAGAACAGGCGGAGTGTGTGTGCCTGTACGCGATTGAGAGAGCACTTGTGACAAGGCATGGTTAGGCGAGTGGCAGTCGCTAGTGCGGACTTGCTAAGTCGTGTGTGCTCCCTTTTGCTGGCTAAGACTGGAACAATTTTTGAAGCTTTATTCATTGGATCCCGCTCTTTGGGTGGCACGCAGATCGCCTCTAGGATCATTAGCTTGCGCGAGATGCACGGTGACATGGACCCCGCCCCTAGCCCCGCCCTGGCCCCGCCCTAGATGCCTCGTGAGCCGCGGTGCGCGCCTCGAGTGTAGTGGTGTGGGTAGGCTTCGAGCCAGATTTATTATGTTATGTTATGTGCCAGAAGCCATCCGCATAGCATTGATTGACCTTTTTAAGGCACGCCATGATGGTAGCTCTCTTTTCACTTTTGTGAGAAGCTGCCTTGGCTAGCATGGTCCGCGTATCTCCATACCGTTGGCTGCTCGTCAGTCTGTCTAGACAGCGCCTCTGGTACCATGGTACCCTGGTACCTGGTACTGGTGCTGGTACCATGGTACGGGTACTCGAGTACTGGTACAGTACTGGTACCAGGTACCTCCTGTATCGGGGTTATGGGGGGTTTACGAGGTGTGAACGTGAACAGAGTAGCCAGATCGCTGTCGATCGTTACGGCACGCATGGGGGGCCTCCCGGACGTATGATCCTAGCCCAATAAGTTCCACGGAGCAGATTTGGATTTTTCACAGAATTAATGCACTGCTCCCGCACGGTACTAATAGTCGTAGTTTTGGGGGCGGCGCCCCTCACGGCACCACACCGCCGCAGGACAGCCCGAGATTAGCCTAGCAGTGAGTGGGAATCGCCTGCCGGTCGGCTTGGCACGAGCCAAGCACTTGGGCGGCCGTCATCCGAGTCCGAGCGGCGCCTGAGGTGGGTGCCACGGCGTCCGCACGAAGGCGTGGCGGGGTGAGGAGCCAGGGGTGGTGAACGCCTCCCCGTCGGGCGCGCGGCGCGCCGGATGGTCCGCCGAGGCCGCCGCCGCCGCGGCGGCGGCGATGGGGGCGGCGGGGCCGACCCGGCCGGCGTTTGTCGGCTCCACCTACAGAAGAGCAGTCTCTGTGGGTCGACGATACTAACTCGGTAGTAACGCTGAGCGGTGCTGTGCGACGCCGCGTCGTGCGCGAGGCGACCTCCTGAGGCTACCTGAGCTGGCTATGGATGCCACCAGGACGCACGGCTAGCAGGAGCCAGTCCGGCATGCCCTGCTGTGGAGCAGAGCCTGCTGGCGCACCGGCGATACTAACTCAGCGCGCCGCGAGAGGCGAATCTGGGCGACTTTGGAGGCGCAGTTCTCGAGGTTGCCGTCGACGATTGATGTCGGGTAACTTGTCACTGCCGTCCGGGAAGGTCTTCTCTCAGCAGGCCGAGCGCCGTGGCATCGCGCTGCTCGCAGCGCTGTCGCGGCGCCGAGAACCCCCAAAACTCGCGAGACCTCGATACTAACAAAGACTACGATACTGGAGGTATCCTTGAGTCGTCTGATGTGTATAGGTGTGTACAAGAAACTATTTCTGAACGCCTAGACGCCATTCCTTGAGGCTTGGTTATGTGAGTGGGGTGGACCCACAGATCATGCAGGAGCAATAGGGAAGAAATCCGCAGGTACGTTTTGGAGCTATGAAGGGTTAAAGTTGGAGTTCCGAGCAGCTCCTCGGGGCCGGTCGGGGAGGCACTCTCGGGGAGGCTTCTAGCGCGCCAATCACTCAGCTAGCAGCTCCTAGAAGGCCGAGGTGTAACTCATATGATTTCAGATATATATGAGTTACTTCACTTTGGCTTAAACCGGCTGTGCCCGAGCTTGACGGTGCGCCACGCTGCCACCACCGTTGCTACGTTGGCCGCTCGGGCCTCACCTCACTCTCTCCGGCCCCTTCTCTTGGGTCTTTGTCACCTAGGTCCTCCCCTGTGCACAGCTCAGAAGATATCTTGGGTCCCTCTTCCTAGCCCCTTATACACACTTCTTAGCTTTAAGGAGCCGCATACACAAGACAGCCTGACTACGACAACAAAGTGGCCGTTTCACGGAGCACCGTGTTGCCTTCGGTGGCAGCGGTGGCAGGGTGGTGTGGCGCAATAACAACCTCGACCCGCGAGCCCTTGCTTGGCATGCTAGCAGGGGCATGTCCTGCTTGACCAGGAAGGCCAGTCTCTCCACCTCTAGAGCCTGGGGCGGCGAGATTCAGCGAGACTGCTGCGATTTCCCGGCTCGCGACCCGTCTGCTGTGCGAGCAAAGGCGCACTTCGGGCGCCGTGGGGGGCGCAAAAGCGCGTTTCACGCTGCACATCTGACTAGAGAGTTGTAGTCCCGGGTCCGCACTACAACCCCAGAGTCGGAGATTTGGTGTCAGTCGCTTGTCCGCGCCCTCCAGGGCGCGCGGACTTCTGGGACTTGCATGGCGGCTCGGTCGCGCCCCGTGAGCTGTGCGAGCAAAGGCGCACTTCGGGCGCCGTGGAGGGCGCAACAGCGCGTTTCACGCCGCACATCCGACTAGAGAGTTGTAGTCCGGGGTCCGCACTACAACCCCAGAGTCGGACATTTGGTGTCAGTCGCTTGTCCGCGCCCTCCACGGCGCGCGGCGTGCGAATACAAAATCGGCCCGACTTAGCCATTCTGAGCACCGTGTTGCCTTCGGTGGCAGCGGTGGCAGGGTGGTGTGGCGCGAGAACAACCTCAACCCGCGGGCCCTTACTTGACATACCAGTAGGGGCATGTCCTGCCTGACCAGGAAGGCAGCCGCATACACAAGACAGCCTGACTACGATAAACTCTCACAGCTCCCGGGCACACTCTCACAGCCTACTAGGTACGTCGGCGCCCGGCCGGCGGGGAAGAGTCGCCGCCATCCCGGCCACGCTTGCTCCTTCGGACAGTGCGGCTCTTTTTTGCCCCATCCCTTGGCAGCTGCGCCTCTGGGGCCGCCTCAGCCTCGGCAGCAGGCTCACGGGGCCGCTTTGGGGGCTTGGCGTTGGCCGTGGGCTTGGCGGCGGGCTTGGCGGCAGGCTTGGCGGGGGGCTTTAGTTGCCGTGCTCCTGCAGCCACTCGGCACATTGACGCCGAATGCTGGCGGGCGTCGCCGCTCCAAAGAGCCACCCAGCGTCTTGCTGCTCGCAGTACGCGAAGGAATTGAAGAGGCACGAACCGTCTGGGGTCTGGGCCACGAGAGTACCGCGCCGAACGACAGCCTCCACGTCTGGGGAGAGGTTGCGCCTTGGGCCTTGCAACTGCGCGTCCGGATGCTTCCCGCGAGGCTTCGGGAAGTGTGGGCAGTCTATGGTCCGATGACGTTCGCCGCACCTGTCGCAGCAGGCCATGAGGCGAGACTCTCGAGCACCTTGGCACTCGCGCGAGAGCTCGACTTTTGACACGCGTGAAAAAGAATTCTACCTGCGTCTCGACACTGGAGCGCCGGCCCGCGACACCATCACCCGACGAGCGCCGGCCGCTAGTGATAGCCGCGCCACGCACGCGACGCGGCGGCGTTTCCTCAGGTACGTGAGTGTTGGTGGCGCTGTCGGTGGCAGCGCCACCGCAGGCATGGCACGGTGCGCTTGCCGCCTGGACGCGACGCCACGGCCGTGCGCGCGATGACGAGCGCCTGCGGCGCATCGCCGCCACGATCACGGCACACCGTGAAGTGACACGCGACGTGGCGTTTCCTCACGGCACGTGAGTGTGCGGTGGTGGCGCTGTCGGTGGCAGCGCCACCGCAGGCATGGCACGGTGCGCTTGCCGCCTGGACGCGGCGCCACGGCCATGCGCGCGATGACGAGCGCCTGCGGCGCATCGCCGCCACGATCGTGACGCACCGTGGAGTGAGGTCGGGAGAGAGCAGGGAGTGTGTAGTGAGAGGCGCAATGGGCCCACCGAGAGGCGCCGCACCGCGTGCTTCAATGGGACGTCCACGAGCGAGGCAACGGCGAGCCAACGGCACCGTCCGCCGCAGAGCGCCAGCGCGGCGCGCCGAAGCAGCGAGAAGCCGCGCGCCGCCGCCCAGCGGCGCCTCGCAACAGCACACTCCGCACCGAGCAGTCGTCGAGGCTCTGCCGGGTGAAGTCACAGCCTGTTTGCATCGCCGACGCGTGGCTCAGACGCGTGCGGCGACGCTGCTGGGTCCCTCCGTGTGCCTGGGAGTGCGTGGACCGGCAGCTAAGGCTGTGGCGGATGGCTCGCCGGCGACTCGCTCGACGCTCGCAGCACTCGGCGGCGAGGAGGCGGCGCAGCCGAGTCGCGTCGCGAGCCACCGCTCGGGCCTGCTGGCAGCCTGCTGCGGACCCTGTGGCACCCGCCGGCCACGAGTGGAGCCGGGAGGAGGCCACGGGGGCGCTGCAAAGGCGGCGGCGGCGGCCATCCTGCGGCGTGTCGCGCCAGACGAGTGGGGGGTATACTATTAGTATACTTAGTACATGTACGGGTTTCGCACGCCCGCTGCGCGCCTCGAGCTCTCGCGCTCGACGCGCACTGTCGCTCTGGACCCGCGCCTCATGGCCCTGCGCAGCGGCTACTGCGCCACCACGCGGAGCGGCGACGCCGGCGACTGCAGCTCAGCGTCCGGCAAGGGCTCGAAAGCGCTGCACAAGCTGCTGGAGCCGAAGCTCGCGAGGCTGCCGGCGATGGCGATGCTCGCGTGCTACCGGTTCTGCAGCGCGTGCAGCGCGTGCGCCTACGTCTCCGTCTCGACCAAGCACGACGACTGCAGCTGGTTTGCGGAGTCACGCTGCGAGCTGGCGCACCTGCACCAGCAGCCAAACAGCTTTGTCACGCTCGCGATGCGCGATACGCCGCCGAACGCGACTCTTGCCACGTTCGAGGCTATGCGGGAGCAGAGCCCTGCCCTCAGCGCCACCCCTATGCAGAATTCCTCCTGGAAGAGCAGTTGGAGTAAAGCGTTGGAATGCAGACACAATTGGCCAACGGGAGTCAAGCCCACAGTTGACCTCACAGGAGGCACATGCATGTGCAAGTATGCAACGTGGGCGGATCATGCAGCACCGACCCTGGCGGAGCCTTGCAAGCGTGGCCTCGCTGTCATCGCTACGTTCAATCCATCGCCAGTACTTCTGACCACGATCGGCGCTGTCCAATGGTTCTATCCAGACTTTGATGTGCTTGTCGTGGACAACAACTCCACCCAGCAACACTCATTGTCATTGTTGAAATTCGCAGGAAGAATGGTGAAAGTCGTGCGATCGACCGGCCAATACGAGCTTGGAGCGTATTCGTTCGCCTTGCAACACTTAGGTAGGCTGGTGAACACTTACTCCGCGCTAATGTTCATGCAGGATACCACGGTGCCATGCGGACGCATGGTTCCGGGCTTGTGTAGTATGGGTCTAGGTGACGCCTACGCGCTACGCTGTTTGCACACCAGGTGGGGTGTCGGCGGGCAACTCGACCGCTTGGCACACGTCTACGACAGACAAGACGGCTTTTCGGGGTTTCCACCTCCGACCGGACACGTCATCTGGCCCTGCGCTGAGGCTGCTGCGCACGCATACCGCCAGGGTGCTCACCACGCAGATGCCAGAGACGCGCCGACCGCGGCTGCCTCGACTGCACACGTGTCCACAGACCTCTCCGGCTGACCACTCGGAGATCGGCAGGGCGCGAATTCGCATTTCGGTTCTTCCTCAGAGACAGAAGGCCCACTCGGCATCACTGCTTGCGTTTCTCTAGAGCCGTACGCTTCATCTGAATGAACGTGTTTTATCTGATGCGCTCATGAGTCATGTCCTGTGCAGTCAGCACACGTGAGTCGTGACGCGTGAGTCGTGAGACGTGACTCAGCTCTGAGGGCCAGCGCGTGAGGGCGCTGGGCGGGTGGCTGCCACTCTCGTTTCACGTTTCCAAAAAACGACAACAAAAGCCTCGTTATCATTTATCAACCGAGTGCGCCAACGCGTTCTCAGTCAGACGCGTGTAAAGCCGCGGCGCCGACCGACGCGGGCGTCTTGCTCTCGCCACCGGCCACGTCGAACTTGTCGCGCGGGATGAGGTCCCACGTGCCGTACGCGTACGTGACGACGCCGATGAGGTTGGTCCACGTCGCGTACGTCGTCGGCCCGGTCGCGCACACGTACTCGACGGCGAGCTCGACCGCGTGGTTGTCGACCTAAGGTGAGGTAGGGTAAGGCAAGCTTCTCCACACACACGAGGTGGCGGGGCAAGGGCCAGGCGATACTCGCGTCTCCACGTCTAACGACAGGAGCCCCACGGCATTCAAAGTGCAAGGCCCAGTGCGCGTGGGTGAGCCGGTGTGTGTGCGTGGGAGGGGGG